GGGATGAAGGAGGAGGTGGGGGAGGAGGGGATGGAGTCGTTCGAGCCGACGGAGGACGAGCTGGTGCTGCACTTCCTGCGGCCGCGGCTGCGCGGGTTCGCGCCGCGCGTGGCGGGCGCGGTGGTGGAGGCGGACCCGTGCGCGGCGCCGCCGTGGGAGCTGCTGGAGCGGCACGGCCTGCTGGGGCGCGGCCACGGCTACTTCTTCGCGGCGCGGCGGCGCGGGAAGGTGCGGCGCACCCCGGAGGGCGGCGGCGGCGCGTGGATGCACAGCGGCAACAAGGAGGACCGCCGGTCCGTGACGGAGCTGGGCGTGGTCGCGCGCTGGTGCATGACGCGGTACTGCTTCTACCTCCGCGGCGGCGACGGGGCGCAGCAGGGGCGGCGGAGCACCGGGTGGGTCATGTCCGAGTACGAGATCACGGACCCGCGGTGCTACCGCCGCGCCGAGGAGGACCAGTACTGGGTGCTCTGCCACGTCCGCCGCAGCATCAGGGAGAACGTCAAGCCGCGCTCCCGGAGGCGGTAGGGGGTCAGTACTCAGCAGGCTGCCGCGCCGGCCGGCGCAAGTCCGTGTCCGTTCGTCCTCGTCGTTCGTCGCTAACTCGCCATGTGTGATCTGATCTGCCATGTCCGTCCGTCGGTGCGCGGCACACTGTCTGTAATAAAGCAGAATTTGGTCCCTTCGATTTTGCTGCTCTGCCGTTTGTAAGTCTAAAAATAAGTCAAATTTGTTTCCTCAAAAATGTCAACTCAAGTTATTTCTCCGTCAACAACAACATAAGGTTGACTTGTTGATATAAACATAAGGTTGGCTTCTTGATATATATGTATGCAAATTGTTATGTTCCAGACTTTACAGAGTGGAAGCCCAGACGAAAATACAGATACAACAAGACTTTCTGGGAGGCCTCCGACCGGTCAACCTCAGAGGCATTCAGCAAAGACCATCACAAGGAAAGACGATCCTGTGAATGCCATCAACAAGAGTAACAGGATAAAGCATATATATATCAGAGGCAACCATTGCTTCACACGGTTCAGGATCACAAACCTTGGCAAAGAAGCGATGGTGAGCATTCAGGAACATATCACGATGATCACGGGCCACAGCGAGGCGGTCGCGACGGACGAGGGCCCCGCCGACGAGGGCAGCCGCGGCGTTCGATGACAATGAGCATATTGAAGATGGAATGGCGCCTGATATTGAATTGTTATAAAGAATAAGCTCCTACAATAAAGGGGCTCCAAAATCTGACGGCAATGTCCCGGAGAAAGAGTTTCCTGATAAGTCCATGTATTCGGCATTTCTTGGAAATTTTGGCACCATACCTATCAATCTATTATTGGACAGTACCATTTTTTGTGTAGTCATAAATTCCAAGGTTGCTGGAAGTGTGCCGGTTATCTCATTATCTGACAAATCTATGAAGTTTGTCCTTGAAAATGCAACCCAAAACCAAGCTGGGATTGCAGTTATGCTTGCATTTGATATATGTAGCAGCCGAAGGCTTGTCTGTGATCTAAGCCATGGCGGGAATGCCGGTCCTAGCTGCAAAGATGTTAAGAAAATTGCTTGTAGCCTGAATGGAGGAATCCAATTCTGACTGACCTTTATCTGAAGGTTTGTGTTGTGCAACCCCAAGAACTTCAAATGTTTGAGGCCTTTTAGATGATATTCAGTAACTATACCATTTAGTCTGTTTCCACCTAGCGATAGGGGTTTGGCCTGGTGGTCGGGGTGGCGAAGCGGCGGCAAAGGCAAGAGAGAAAGAAGAAAGGATAAAAAATGAGGGAGGATGGAGTCACGAGGTCCGGAAAGGGTTTTGGGTGGGCCTAGCGTGTCGGACTCCTATGTTTCGCGTGTCCGGACTCCTACATAGCTTCCCCATTTTTGTCTCTGTTTTGCGGAAGAAATCGCATCCGGACCACCCGCGGACTGATACTTTTCCGCGTTGGATGGCTCCCGCGGTCTGGATGGATGTGGTTTGCGGGTCCGCCTAAAAGATGCCCTAAGTACACATTATCGCTTTTGTTCTTTTATTTTCAATAATATCTTATTTTTCTCGACCAAGATCGACTAGATAAACCTGGTGGGTAAATATATTATTGCAAGCACCAACAACCATCCAAATCAACCTCCATCATTGACATCACCCGGACTGTTCCCCCAAGAGATGCTTCCAGGAAGGAAATGACATGTGAGTGCTCATATTTTTATTTAGTGATGGGAGCACTTATGTGTGTTCGTTGTCTTACCATTATACATCTCTTTTGCAGGAATTTAACATTCTATTTTAGTTTTTTTAACATAATACAGACGCATGTGTTTATATATACACGCATACATTCATCCATATAAGCACGCATGCACACCCTAACCCTATGAGCACTTTCGACAGACTGAGCCGACATATTATCTAAGATTAACGAAGTCTTCAAGGGCGCGACGGGAGCGTCTCTTTCCAATGAACTAGCTCAAATATTTCTTTCCTCTAGGGATTGTTGCAGATGTGTAAGCTTGCAAGGGAAACATGATGGGTGCCAAGGGAGTTTCGTAATCATCACTTACAATTGATAGGAGTCTTACTTAACTCGACACCACCTTGGTCTAGATCATCAATTGTACCAAAATTTGGGAACAATGTGATTGTTTTAGTGGTGCTTACACCCTGATCTGCATCTGCGTTGCAGAAGAACTTCATCATATTGGGAGGCCTTGACATTTCATTCCCCCGATATGCCGGATATTACCGACATGCACGTCATATCGCACTACTTAATTGGTGATCCTGTTATCACAATTACAGAATTGATGCGTATCTCTCCATCCTTAGTTAGTGATCTCCATTTACATATGGCCGGCGTTAGTTTTCTTTTTTGGGACAAAAAACGATCCGGCGTTCGTGCTGTGGCTTTACAGCTGGGCCCGATTGGGCCCAATCGAGCAGACCATTTTGGCGGGCTACTCCGTGTTGGGCTGAATAGTGAAAGGTAGTCTCGGTGGGTGTCCTCTTTTTTTTAGCCATCACTGTCCTCCCGGTCCCTCTCGCCGCATCTTCTTGTCTGGTCTGGTGGTTGCCGAGTGCATTGACTTCGTCGGGGAAATGGAGGAGCAGGAGATAGATCTGGCCGTCGCCGGCGTAGGGGAGGTGAAGGAGGGGCTGGAGGAGTCGTTCGAGCCGACGGAGGACGAGCTGGTGCTGCACTTCCTGCGGCCGCAGCTGCGCGGGTTCGCGCCGCGCGTGGCGGGCGCGGTGGTGGAGGCGGACCCGTGCGCGGCGACCCCCTGGGAGCTGCTGGCGCGGCACGGCCTGCTGCGGCGCGGGCACGGCTACTTCTTCGCGGCGCGGCGGCGGCGCGGGAAGCGCGCCCAGGCGCGGCGCACGCCGGAGGGCGGCGGCGGCGCGTGGATGCACAGCGGCAACAGGGAGGACCGCCGGTCCGTGACGGAGCTGGGCGTGGTGGCGCGCTGGTCCATGACGCGCTACTGCTTCTACGCCCGCGACGGTGCGCAGGGGCGGCGGAGCACCGGGTGGGTCATGTCCGAGTACGAGATCACGGACCCGCGGTGCTACCGCCGCGCCGACGACGGCGAGGAGGACCACTACTGGGTGCTCTGCCACGTCCGCCGGAGCGTCAGGAAGAACCTCAAGCCGCGCTCCCGGAGGCCGTAGCCCGTAGGGGATCAGTACTCAGCAGGCTGCCTCGCCTCGGCTCGGTCGCCGGCCGGCCGGCGCAAGGCGGGGAGAGTCCCCATAGGATTTCGTGTTGCGTTTCTTGTGCTCGTCGCCCGGCATGTCCGTCCGTCGGTGCGCGTGGGCCATTGGCAGCGTTGAGAGAAGAAAGGAAATAAATGCGCGCTGTAATAAAGCAGTTGGGTTGGTATGGTTCCGCGTGCGCCATGAGCGGTGCACATGTTTTTCTTTAGAGTTAATACATGTTTTAGTACATAAACTTGTGGTGATGGGAACAATTTCATACAAAAACTAAAAAACCTCAAAAAATAGTAGTACATGAACTCTACTGCCGTAACAAACGCATACAAATCTGTCCGAACTAGTCTGCGTGGAGTGCCACGTCAACAACCTGCATTTATCTAGAAACCTCCCGGACTTGTCGCAAAATTCAGTCTTTCGTCCTCACTCGCGCCAGGCTGAATAGAGTTAAACAAAAACACCCTCGACGGTTCAGATATACAGCCGACGCCCTCGTAACCCCTCCCCTGTCTCGTCCTCGACGGCAACCCAGGGTGACACCGTCTTGGGCGTGGCGGCGCCGGCGATCGATGGAGCCGCGGCTTCGCGAACCAGGGGAGTTCCCTCCCGAGTATGGTATGTACCGAATCCCTTCCTCTAGACCACAATTGGGAACCTAATTGGCCTGGGTTTGGTTAGGTTTAGGTGGCCCAGATGATCAATCCATGTTCGTCATATTTAGTGCTGAACAGTAGGTGTTTCTTGTGTGGATTGGTATGAGTTTCCTGTGCGGATTGATGGTAGACTAGGTTTTTGGGGATCGAGACTGCAATCAGGAACCTAATCGGTGTGGGTTTGATTCTGTAGTTGATGTGCTGCTGTTGTAGTTTGTCTGGTGCTGTTGATGGGGATTAAAGAGGTGATTTTAGCATTCAGATGCCGTTGAAGATACCAATATGGAAGTGTAGTTTGTCTACTACTATTGATAGGAATCCATGCCTCTGTACTGCTGTTTGTAGCATATGCTGTCCATGTGTTGAGTCCATGTCTGCTGATGAAAACTTCAGTTTTTAACTGCACATGTCTACTGCAATTTCAGATCAAAAGAGTGTGTACTGCAATTTCAGTTCCAATTTAAAAGAGTGGGCAGAAAACTGAACTTAAGATCACTGCAAAATGAAGTGTGTACTGCAATTCCTGTTTAAAAGAGTGGATTTTAATTTATGGAAGTGTGCATTTGTCAGAAAGAGTGCATTTTTAACAAGTGTTCATTTCTACTGCATTTTTAAATTACTAATATGTTCGGGTGCACATGTCTTCAGTTACAAATATGTTAGTACATTTACTGCCATGTCTCTCTTCATTTAGAGTTATCTTCACTGCCTATGTCCATTTTCACTTATATATTTCTCCAGTTACAGTTTTATTCAGTGCATATGTCCACTTATGTGTTGAATTGCATACATAAGTAATTCAGTTGCTGAGTTTTGAAATGTTCCGCTTTGTGCAGTGACAAATGGAGAAGACACTCAGTTGTTTTCAGTTGAGTTTGAGCACAATGGGATATTCATAGGGCAGGGTACAACTACAAACAGATCATATACAAATATTGGATGTACACATGATGCTTTCGACTACTGCCATGTTGATACATGGTCATTGGGCATGGTGAAGTACTATTTGTCCAGGTTGGATTATGATCCCACTGATCCATTGGTCAAAGTGTATTGGGTTTTGCCAGGGAAAGATATTATGGATGGCCTTGTCTGTGTGGACACTGAGGAAGCAATTGCTGCTATGTTCACTGCAAGCAAAGAAGCTAAAACATTGG